AGACCACACGTCAGGGGCGGAAAAACGGCCGCTGACCATGCGGCAGGGCGGAAAAAATGGCCGTGGACCACATGGCATGGGCGGAAAAATGGCCGCGGACCACGTGGAACGGGTGGAAAATAGCCGCGGACCACGTGGCATGGGTGGAAAAATGGCAGCGGACCACGTGGAACGGGCAGAAAATGGCTCGTAAGTCGAGGCGAATTTGTAAATAGAGGTAAATTTTGTAAATAGAGCTGATCGAATCTCGAAAATTTCGTAAGTAGGGGTGTTCGTAAGTAGAGGTACCACTGTAATAATAAAGCTGTTTTCTTAGATAAGTTTCCCTATGTTTTGTAATGTGTTTGGTATATAAAACAAACCTGTAACTTTACTGGACTTTGATCCTTACAATAATATCTCATTCCTTTAAAATGTAAATGCTCAGTTGACTAATAGTTTCCCCTAGTTGTGAGCCTGACTGATAATTTGAACTAATTTTTACCCAAATTAGGAAGCATTTAATGTACCCGTATGCAATCCAATGAAGTGTTGGACTTCTCTACAATAAAGTATTTCCTATTGGCACCTGAGTTATTCTCCCCCTTCCCCCTTTTTATTATTTTAAATGCTTGCCCCCTTTTCCCTTTTGCTCAGTAATAAGTTACTACTCCCCATGATATTAAAGCAGTCATACATAAATCAATTATATGTGAAATGTATCTCAATGAAAAAAAAATTTTCATTTTGGTTTTTGCAACACTTACACGTAGAGAAGCACATTCACATAACACAGTAGAGTGCCTGACAAGAATTCATAGCTATTTATTGTTGAAAAACTCTTAATCCTTATGTGGCTAAAACAGGGGTAATAACAGATCCAATATTTTATAACATCAACTGGGAGAGGTATATTGTGAAGGGGTGCTGTAGGGTGTCATCTGTTGCACATCCCAGTTTTTGAATGCACATTCCCTGGAAACCAGGCTGATGCCAAAACTTTTGGCACTATACAAAGGCCTAACTTTTTACTCTTCCACTCAAGACTCAAGACACAGCCTAGCTGTATCCTGCTGTACCTTGTAAAAATCTGTGCCTCCTATCGTGGTTTTGTGGTTATTCCTTTTTAAAATTATAAAACATTGCTTATTTTTATTTCATTTTATTCTTATGTCTTATTTATTTTAAGGATTGTAGCTCAGCTTGAGATCTTGGGATAGTGGATGGGCTGTAATATTTTAATAAAGAAAGAAATATATTGCAATAAAATTGTAATTTCTGTCAGGAAGAAGCAATTTCACCTGAACCTTTCAGCTTAATTTTTCCCTTCTAGCATTTATTATACATAATATATACACACATACACACACACACACACCACAATCACCAGGCCTGTCCAACACTATTAGGATAGCTCAGAGTGATGCAGCAATTATTACTTTCTGGTAATGGTGCTACCACATTATTTTCCTCTCTCTATAAAGAATGTTCAGAGAAGAAAGACAAAGACAAGAAAGACAAAAATCTCAGAGTTGTTAAAAGAGAGAACAAAATCCATAAAGACACCGAAGATGGAAACAGACATGGGAAAACAAAGAAAAACTTCCCAAAAATCTCAGAACATAGGCGGTTCCAACCTCAAATTGGTGTGCTAATGGATGCCGATGGACAAATAGTAACTGATTAAAAGAAGATCCAATAAACAAGATGGGAGGTGACAAATTTGATATATAAATAAATAAATAAAAGATGAAAGGAGTACATTGAAATTCTGTACAGTAGAGATATCAACATCCAAGATACCTTCCCTATTTACAAGAAGGTCTAGTACTAAAAGTTGACATTAGAATAGCACTCTGGTCATTACCAAGTTGGAAAGTTACAGGAATTATCTACAGAAATAAGGCAAGCAACAGAAGAAAAATCAGTAAAGGTAAAGGTTTTTAACTTTGTTATTGGACAGCACTCCTGAGAATACCATGGACAGCCAAGAAAACAAATGGATCATTAAATAAATCAACCCAGAGTTCTCAATGACTAGGCTCAAATGATCATACTTTGTATGTATTATGTGAAAAATGTAGCTCTCCAAAGACGTCTATAATGCTAGGAAAGGTGGAAGAAAAGAGGAGAAGAGGACAACCAATAGTAATTTAGATGGACTCAGTGACAGTGGCTATGGATGCACTGTTGGAAGACCTGAAGAACCAGATTGGGGGCAGATTGTCCTGGAGAAAATGCATTTATGTGGTTGCTAAGAATTGACACTAACTTGATGGCACATAATCCATAAATATAAGAGAGTTTAAACCCAGCAACTGGTAGCTAATTTACAGAGGCCTACATCATCTAATGTATGTTACAAGATTAGAACCTCCAAGACACAAGCTGGTACCAAAATTGTCTGTTTAGTATTTAATAAAAGACCTACAATAACACAGAGAAATATGGATGAGTAATATGCTTTTTGGATTCAAACTGTAAGTACAGACATAACAACAATAGGTAAACTCCTCTAAAATTTAGATTTAGTATTATAGAAAAACAGTTGTAAAAGGAACTGGGCAAGGCTCGGAGTGCATCTGAAATAATATCAAAATTCACAGTCTGATTACTTATTGATCCTAGAAATCTGCATGTGAAATTTCCTGAGTCCTGGGAAATTCTCACTCCATATAACCTGGAGTGTACTGTCTTCTCTTCTTTTCCCCAGGAAGACTCTAAGAGAGTAAACTTTTAGAAAGGACTGGTTTGTTAATCTCAAGAGGGGAGGGAAATTGTGTTTACATAATAATACAGGCAAATATTATTCTTGGGTTTCCTTACTAGAGGTAAAAGTATTAGGTTACATTTAACTATGTATGTGTGTCTTGATCCCATGGGGACCACTGGGGGTTTACCTAGCTAGAGATGCCAGTTATATGAAGTTTTATATTACATATAAACTATATGACTAGATGTTATATCATACAAGTTTAATAAGAAAACATTTGTTGTTCACAAATATAGTCAAAGCTTACTCTAGGATCCATTCGTAAAATATTAGGCTTAAGCTATGAGTAGGATACAATTACCATGTTGATGTCATAATGGCTAGGTCAGGTTAAAAAGTGCTTTTATTCCTGTTTAATTGTTGGGAATGTTTCATTTGAAATTCAATGGCAAATACACAGTTATTTTCCAACTGTTTTGTTATTTATTTATTGGATTTATACCACAACTTTCTACTCAAGCAAATACTCATGATTAACAACATTTTTTAGAAGATATATTAGAATATGTTATGTGATTATGTTCAAGTGTATATTAAAAATTTAAATTTACAAAATGAAGAACTTGGTTTCCTTCAACGACCATCCAACAAATTAGTCAGATTAAAAAGAATGCTTTCAACTGAGCTTTCCCGTGTTGCCACTAGTTGGAACTGAGTCCTGCACATCCTCTGGCTCTGTTGTATTAAGGTACTCTATAAAACTTCTGTAACCTATGTTTAATAGTATTTAGCTGTTGAGCAGAGGGGGTTAGTATGAAAAATAGGAAATATGCAAGTCAAATTTCACCTCAAGCACAGTGGCTACTGCAAAACATTAAAATAAAGGTATCACATTGGGAAATCTGTGTTTAAATCTTTGTGTCAGACAAAGAGCATTAAAAGAAATAAAATATTTAAAAAGCAAGAAGAAAAAAATAGCTAGCATTTTAGGAAGAATGAAGCATTTTGAAAGGATTAAAGAGAAATGCTGATATCAAGCTACAAAATTAGTCTTAGAAAAACACTACGGTATAAAAATACTACCATAAAAGGAACATAGTGTCACAATATAACTCTCCCCCCTGCTTTTGGAATTTGTTATACCTTACCTTCCTCAAGGATTGGTCTTTGGACAATAAAGGGAATCTCTTGCAGGGGTTCCATGTGCTTGTGTCCTGCACTCATAATCTTTATAAGGGGTAAGCAAATGACAAGAGTTCCGGGCATACTAGTCTGTCCATGGTACCAACTGCGGACAGTCCCAGGAATGTCACCAGACACTATTGTACTGGGAGATGGCAGGCTGTCATTTGGAATGAACACACAGCATGACTGCACTTCAAGCTGAAAGACAAAAACAGCCATTAAAAAAGGGTTAGGATTAGGATTATCTAACCCTAGGGGTAATCCTAAACACTTATAAAGGCAAGAGACAACACGCTTACTGTGGCCCTAGGTCTAAGTTTCATAGGTAACAAGAATCAAAATCAGTTAATGGACATTTTTTCATGCTTAAAAAAAAAACAAAGAGAACCGCGCCATATGATCTGTATTTTTGTAATTTGTGTTTGTTTCTCAGTCAATGCCTAAGAAAAGTCATATTGGTCTACTCAGGAGAACTCTGACAGAAAAAAATGCCTATCTGCCTTTTCATACCTTTTTTTCCAAGAGAGATGATTGATTTGGAAAGTGTACTCACAGAAAAGAAAAACAATCCATTTGTAGATTATTACCTTCTGATAGCATAAACTAAGACTTCAGATCTGACTAGGAGCTCATATCTTGCTTCTTTTAGTGACAATTCTTCCCTTTCTTTGAAGTTTGCAGAGAATGATATGTACTATGAAAGATTGCATCATTCTCAAGAAATGCAGCTGAAATACCACCTTTGTTACATTGCCAAATATTCTCATTATTGCCAAAACCACATACAGCTAGTACTGTTTGTGTTCTGTAACTATGTGCACATGGAATGTGATAACCAACATAATCTCCTGGGCAATTTAGCCTCATGTTTAGACTTAAGAAAACAACACCCCTAAAACCAGAAAGCTTCTAGCTTTCCCCTTACAGAAGACAGGACTGAAAGTATGTAGGAAGTCAACCTTGAGAGAAGAAAGTGTGCATACCATCTTTGAAAATAATGATTGTATTCAAGTATTCACATATCAACCACATGTAACACAATTTGCTTAGTGGAATTCTGATATAATAATCCGGTTAATATATTTCTCTCTGCATCAAAACCATCATCATCATCATCGTCATCATCGTCATCATCATCATCATCATGGTAGATTGCATAGTCAGCCAGATGTTTAGACTGGATTTGGCATTTTAATCCACCTATTGAGTCCTTCCCAAGGA